AAAATGCATCACAGAGAACAAGGGGCATAATGAAATAAAGCCCTATAAAAGAGTCGGGAACAGTGTGTACTGGAACCATCCCCAACAGCAATCTGCTGCTTCTTTAAACAAGTGGCATGATTTTTTTTTTATCCCACTAAGATAATTCCTACTTCCTGGTGCTTGTTATAAGCACTAAAAAGGTTATCAGCACCTTTTCGCTCCTCTTTCTGGCTGCCCTCAGATTCTTCCACTATGACTTTCCTTTACACATTCTACCTTTATTTTCAAGAGCTTTACCTTAACTCTTTGCTCTGGATCTTCCTAAAATACCTATAGAAATGACCCACTTTCAGAGAGACCAGCAGCTCTTGGAAAGCAGGACCTGGGCACCCAGGTTTAAGTACTATGTGACCTGCGTGCCTCGTCAGGGCTCTGCCAACTCATGGTCAACCTGGGATGTGAGTATGGACCTTGCCCAGGAAGCTGGCCAGCAACTGGGTATCACAAAGAGAACCCTGGGGGTGGCATGCAAGGACATGACCCAACCTTGTCTGGATGTAAGAAGAGCTATAGCTAGCAAGAGAATTCCTGAGTCATAGCTATCCAGAGCTCTGGAAATCTGACCACCTGAATAAATAGCTCCCAGGAAGTCGAGGCCAACATTTCAGCTCTTCTTCAAGATCAAAACATTAAGGAGAGAGAGAACACATTTGGAAAAACATTTAATCTGTGCATAAACCCTCTTCCCTCAAGAAAAAGAACGTTTCGATACAACTTATGTCACTGAAAGGGAGAAAAGAGGGAGTTGATGGCCTCCTGAAATGGGTTCAGTATTGGACAGTTCTAAGAGAAAAAAATTATGTTAGCAGTAATCAGAGTTCAGCAGTGATTTCCTGCTGGGATGGCCATTTTTCACTTTTTTTGAATGCTTGTGGTCTTGAGTCTTCCATTTCAAGAGAACTCAAATTGAAGCTAGTTAGAGAGTTAGTACCCTGGCTGTAAGTCTCTTCCTTTAACACATGAAGTGGTGCTTTGAGAAAGTTAATCTGACATTTATATCAATAGCAGAAGAGGAAGGGAAAAAGCTGGAAGCTTGTACTAAGGAGATCCCTTTCACAGTCATTTTGAGGAAGGTATTAAGTACCGACATTTTGATCTCATCCCTCAAACCCAATCTTCCTTGAGTTTCTCAGATGACTAATATACCCTATAACCTTTTGAAATATATTTTACAATTCATGTTCTGGCCAAGATGGAGGCATAGGTGAATACAGCTTGCCTCCTGCACAACCACATCAAAATTACAACTAACTATAGAACAAACATCACTAAATACCGTTAGAAATCGAGTTGAATGGAAGTCCAACAACTATGGAATTAAAGAATCCACATCCATCCAGACTGGTACAGGGGGCACAGACATGCAACAGGAAGGTCTCACACCAACGTGTGGTGGATAAAAATTCGGGAAGGCTATCTTGGGAGCAAGAAGTCCCAGCCCCACACCAGGTCCTCCAGCGTAGGGTTCCAGTGCCAGGGAGGTAAGTCCCCATAACTTCTGGCTGCAAAAACCAACGGGGATTGAGTTGGTGGAAGAAAGTTCTGGAGTCCCAAGCAATCCCCCTTAAAGAACCCACACATGGACTTACTCAGACTTAAGTCACTCTGAGCTCCACCACCAGGGTAAGAGCTTGAAAGGCACCAGTGGCATATAGGGAGGAACTGAAGTCTGGCATGAAGGTGAGAGCTGGGGGACAGCTTCTCCCAGACAGAAAGGCGGGCAGAGGCCATTGTTCCTTTTCTGAGCCCTCTCCCAACAAAGCCACAGAGCCAGCAGGTGGGTGCCACATCTGAGACTCCGTCAACCTGGCTAACAATGTGTGCCCTGCCCAGGAGGTCCCCTGAGGCTCCACCCCACCCAATTTACAGGCATACCTAAGCTGTTAAAAGTGGCTTTTCCATGAGTGGCTGTTCTCGGTTCAAGCTTCACAGCTTCCTAAATCCTCTCAAACAAGCAACGGTGGCCTCAGTGACCCCCCAGCCCTTGTACCTCTTACTAAGTGGCCACAGGCCTGGCACTAGCAGCAGCCAGACTAGGTTCACAGCTTGGCCTCACCTAGGAACCTCCAAGCCCAGCACAAGTAACAGCCATCTCAGATTGCTTTATAGCTCTTGCAGGGTGGCCCCAGGCAGAACACAGAAAGGGACTGACCACGGCCTGTGCCACAGAAGAAACCCCAGAGCCTGCGCACCCAGTGGATGGCTACAGACCACATCAGGGCACCACCACACTGCCCCTGCACAGCTGCACGGAGGGGCAGAGGTTGGTGGGCAGTGGTCACAGCCAGTCCATGCAGCTGGCTGGCCTGGGTACGTCCTTTCCATTGACCTGCCGACAGCAATCAAGACTCAACTACATGTGGAGGGTGTACTCAGCCCACACGGAGGGTACACTTTGAGAACTCCAGGTCACCTACTACATTAACCACACTACCCAGACAGGGAGTCAAAGCAGCTCTACCTAATACATAGAAACAAACACAGGGAGGCTGCCAAAATGAGGAGACAACGAAATATGGTCCTAATGAAAGAACAGATCAAAACTCCAGAAAAAGAACTAAACAAAGTGTAGATAAGCAATCTGAACAGATGCAGAGTTCAAAATACTGTTAATAAGGATGCTTAAGGAACTTAGTGAGGACCTCAACAGCATAAAAAAGACCCAGTCAGAAATGAAGGATACACTAATTGAAATAAAAAACAATTTACAGGGAAACAACAGTAGAATGCATGAAGCTGAGAATCAAATCAATGATTTGGAAAATAAGGAACCAAAAAACAATCACATAGAACAAAAAAAAGAAAAAAGAATCCCAAAAAATGAGGATATACTATCCTCTCTCATCAGAAGAGAAACAGCCTCTGGGACAACTTCAAGTGTCCCAGCATTCACAGCACAGGGGTGCCAGAAGGAGGAGAGACAGAGCAAGAAATTGAAAATCTATTTGAAAAAATAATGAAGGAAATCTTCCCTAATTTGGTGAAGGAAATAGACGTGCAAGTCCAGGAAGCACAGGGAGCCCCAAATAAGATGGATGCAAAGAGGCCCACTCTAAGACACATCATAATTAAAATGCCAAAGGTTAAAGATAAAGAGAGAATCTTAAGAGCAGTGAGAGAAAAGCAGTTAGTTACCTACAGAGGAGTTCCCATAAGACTGTCAACTGATCTCTCAAAAGAACCTTTGCAGGCTAGAAAGAAATGGCAATAAATATTCAAAGTCATGAAAAGCAGGGACCTACAGCCAAGATGGCTCTATCCAGAAAAGCTATCATTTAGAATCAAAGGGCAGATAAAAAGATTCCCAGACAAGGTAAAGCTAAAGAATTTCATCATCACCAAACCATTATTATATGAAGTGTTAAAGGGATTTATTTAAGAAGAAGATCAAAACTATGAATAATAAAATGTCAACAAACCCACAACTATCAAGAACTGAATCTAAAAAACAAAAACAACTAGAACAGGAACAGAATCATAGATACAGAGGTCATTTGGAGGTTTATATGAGGGGAAAAGGTACAGGGATTAAGAAGCATAATTGGTAGGCACAAAATAGGGAGATGTTAAGAATAGTATAGGAAATGGAGAAGCCAAAGAACTTATATGCATGACCCATGGACATGAACTAAGGTGGGATTGCTGGAGGGAGGGAACCGGGCAGAGAGGGGCAAAGGGGGAAAAACCGGGACAACTGTAATAGCATAATCAATAAAATATAGTTAAAAAATATAGTCTCGATATAAATCTATGAAGTTGTGGAGGGTGCTGTGGTTGTGTACAGTGCAGCAAGATAGGGAAGAGTGGTAAAAAGAGCAAATGAGAAGGCCAATGTTAACAATAAGGGAATCTAGGCAAAGGGTATACAGCTATTCTCTATACTATTTTAAATTATTTCTTAAAAAAGTAATTTTTAAAAAGCCAATTCAGCATGCTCTGGACCCTATCTCCTCAAACAGGTACTCATCTTTCTCTTTCTCATCTTCCTTTTCCCTCCTGTCTAGATCATTCTGCTAAGCTCAGAAACAGCTTCTTTATGTTACAAATAAATAGATATAGAAATAAACAAACAAATAAATAAAAGCTAACGTGGCTCTTGCCCCCCAGCCCCTGAGGTCCTACTCAGACTCATCACCCTTTCTCACCTTCCGCCTGTCTTTGGCCCCCCTCCAACCTGGCCTCTGCCACCACCACAGAGGGATCCTGCTCTTGCTCCAGCCACCAAACAACACCAATGGATCCTCTTCAGTTCTTAGGCTACGACGCCTTCAGGGCATGCGATAGTGTTGACCACACCCTCTTCCTTGAAATAGCCACTCCTCTTGCCTTTGGATCAATCACTCTTGGTTTCCCAATCCTGCCCCTCTGCCCCTCCAAACTCTCCCTTTCCATTCCATCATCCTCCACCTGACTTCCGACGGCCATGGTTCCGAAGGTTCTCAGTCCCCTCTGTCCCATGAGGGGGACTCATCCATTCCCATGGCTTCAAGAACCATCTCCATGCTGATGACTCCCAAATTCACTTCTTCAGCCACAGCTTTGCTCTGAATTCCTTATTCATGCAGACCAAGTGCCTTGGCCTCATGGCTTGAATCTTCTCAAAATGAAGCTCTTGGTCTCCCCAAACCCCAAATCTTCTACCCAGACTTTCCATTTCAGTGAGTGCCACTTGAGCTGCTCACGTCAGATAACCCACATCAGCCATAGGATGTTGAAATTATAAGCAACATTTTTGTCTTTATGTTTTTCAATGGTTTAAACTTTTCCTACAATAAACATACTTAAGAATACATGAATCAATCAAAATTAAAAGAACCAAAACTTCTTTCTTTGAAACAGAACAAAATAAAGATGTGCTTAAACACAATGCTTTATAGTTTCTATATTTACTTGTAGTTTTACTTTCATAAATGTCTAAATAAGGGTATGAAAAAATTAATATTAACTTTATTAATTACCAGAAATGTTTGGAGTTACTGAAGACATCACAGCATCGGCTTCTATCTAGAAAAGAAAAAAGAATAATAAAGCGTACAATTTCATCAAATATTTTCACTGTGCAAGTTCTTAATTCCTGGGGTGTGGGGAAGAGATGTATTTCATAAGAAACCAACTTTGTTGAGCTGTGCAGACACTCAATGTCACAGGACAGCTATGACAGACATTTTACTCTTTCATCAATATCTCTAAGATACCAGATGCTAATCTGCTACAGACTCTAATGACCCCAAAACTTTACTCCATTGACCAAAACAGTGTAAGCATGTAAAACCAACTTGGCTGTCACATGTAGCACAACCTCAAAGGAACCTTTCCGTGTTAGACAAATACATAAATTGTTACAAGGGGCCTGATGGTCTTATTTTTAATTTTTCCCCTGATTGTAAAAGTAACATGATGTTGAAAACTTGAAAAATATAAAAAATTATGAAGACGATTTTTAAAATCAGCCTTCCAATGAAAACCACTCACATTTTGACCTAACTTTTTTTTGTCTATGCATTTTCAACATATTTGAGAACACACTGTATATAAAGTTTGGGGACCTGCTTTCACTTAATATTAAAATACAGTATAAACATTATGGAATTAGAACCTTGACAGCACCTGACAGAGTTTCTTGACCTTGAGTTCCATGCCCAACACTCTTCTGATTCCTCTTCCTCCCCTAGAGGGAGCCCCGCCTCCCCTTCGATGTCAGTTCTCCCAGGTCTTCTACCCTCAGGCTACTGCCCAGGCCACTGCGAATCCTCCCCTTGGGCAGTGCCATCCAGTCTCCTGTTTGGAGCTACCCCCTGTGAACTGAGGAGTCCCCCGTCTATCTCCAGCCCTGGCCTCTCCACCCAATTTCAGCTTCCCGTATCAAAGAGAGGAGGCACAATCAGAGGGCAGATCTTTGCTGCCATACCCCAGCGTCAGCGCAGTATTTAATGAGTGAACGCCCTTGGCTCACTCACGAGTGAGTGCCCCCACCTGAACTCGTTGGCTTTCCACTGAAACCTACTCCCGAACTTCCTTCCTTGGGGGCATCACAACTACTTCTGTCCCGGTGCCACACCACTCTCTTACTGCCACCACATCCTGCCAGTCACCAGGGCATAACTTCTCCAGCCACGGGAGCGCCCCCACACACTTCCTACCAGATGTCCGTCCAGCTCCTCTAGTCTGAACGACACTCAGACTCCTATTACAGTTGTCACTCGACTCAGGCCCTCCTCCTTGTCCCCTTCGCTTTCTGTTCTTCTCTATCTTAGGATTTATCACAGAGTTTTATAAGTCTCTCTACACTGTAAATGGCTACAATGCAAACAGCTTCAAAGTAGGGTGGATGTTTTAATCACCTTTATATCTCTAGCTACTAGCAAATGTTCTTTTTATTAAATAGAACACAATAATTTCACTGTGTAAACAACTGCATAGCGTATAAATGATTTATTCCATAAGCGCTTTACTTCCTCATGACCTGCATTCAGTAAATATTTCATTTACTCAATGCAATACTCAAAAAAAATAAAAAATAAAAAATAAAAAAACCCAAATCTCAGCCCAGTATGAAAGTAAAAATCTGTTATATTTCATACAGGATACACATTAGGTGTTACTTATTTAATAAAACTTTATTGTACAAATGATTGTTAATGGTACAGGTGATTTGTTATACCAGTACTTTACTGCTTAGTGATCTGCAGACAATAAAACATTTCATTAGATTAAAAAATAAAATCCAAAACCTCAACCAGGTATGAAAATAAAAGCTAAAACCTGTTCAGTTTCATGGAGTGGACATACATAAGTCACCACACCCCTGTACCTGTCATTAAGTTCCTCACTTACGTTCTGAAATTAAAACCAACTAAGCAGACTCAGCGGTGATAAAGGCAGGAGACCAGGTATCTTTCCAGCCAAACCCAGGTTAAACACAGTGCTTCCAAGGCCAAGTCTGCTTAGTTGACCTGCTCTAAAATTCCAGCTGAAATGACTGCGGGTTAACAGAAGAGCTCCAATTTCTAGGAGCCAGGCCTGGCTGCTCCTCTGAGCCCCGTAATCAGCCACTCAGCAATGAACACAGCCTAGTAGTCGAACCACTCTGAACCCACCTGGCGTATTCAGAGGGCCAACAGGCCATATTGACTGTGAAGTCGTGATGCATTCGAGCATAATGAAGGACGGAGAAGGGGGACATCACGTGGTCCCTGGCTTGGCTCGGCTTGCAATCCGATGGGTGGAGCAGCAACAGGTCAAAGTGATTGCCCAGCAGTTTGGTCTGAGGGGCAAAAGGGAGGGCCTTCCAGGCAGAGTCCCAAGCGCTCCCTCTGCTTGATGGCTGCAGTTAAGTTTCTTAAACCTGGGCAAGAGCTTGCCTCTGAGTAATTCCAGTTCAGAAGTGTAACAAGAGGGACCCATTTCTAGAATGCGATGAACCAGGCAAGGGGAGCAGTACAAACATAGGAGGGACAGGAAACGTGCCACATTAGGAAGTAGGAGATTCACTGAAATTCAGCTCAACTCTCATTGTTGGTGAATTAACACAGCCTTCCCTGGGGACGGATATCCAACAACATTTCAAATGTACCTAGGAATTGTACTTCTAGGAATTTATCCACAGATATACAGCAACAGGCACAGATCTAGATATAGAAGGACGCTCATTGCAGCAATGTTTGTAGGACCGAAATACAAGGGAATGAATCTAAATCACCAAAAACCGGAAACTGGCTAATGAGAATACTATGCAACTGTTTAATGGGGCAGTTGTGTGTGCTTTTATGTTCAGCTATTGTTAAGTAAAAAAGACAATTATGTTTTCATGTATATGTTTGTTAAGCATAGGAAATTTTGGAATGATACACAAAAAACTTAATAATGGTAACCCCTGAGTGGGACCCAGTAGTGGGGAGGAAGGGATTTTACATTCAACTTTACACTTTTCGGTAGTTTGAATTTTTTAGTATGTTAATGTATTACTTCTATAATTTAAACAAAGAAAATGTTAAATAATAAAAGCCCCCTGCATGTCACTTCCTCTGTGAATTCCTCTTGTCAACAACAACACGGCCCGGCCTTCCCTCTTCCCACCTTCCCAGCACCTCATGCTTCCTGGGCCCTAGTGAGATGGCTTTCTAATCCATCCCTAAGCTGGGTTCCAAAGAAAAAATGGGTAAAATTCAGCACCGGGCACATCTTTGAAACTGCCGAGAAGGCAGCAATTAATCTTACAAAGTCTTAAGCTAGCCCTCTGTTTACCATTAGGATCCATTCACCATAGACCTTCGCGTTATCTACCCCATCCCCAAATACATAAAGAAACCCATACCTTGGAAGGCTTGTACCCAAACAGCATCACTACAGCAACTTTAAAGTCCTCTCTGCTGAGATAACCTTTGTTATCTTCATCACATACTTTGAATACCTAAGGAACATTAAATATCTTTAGTTAAGGCAGAAACCTTTCATTTGTTCTGTTATTTTTATTACTAGTTTATACCGAGTTTGAACCTCCAAAACCTAAAACTCGGCCCACCAAAAGGCTTGGAAATGGAGTGTCATTATCCTACTTTTAATACTCAAGAAATCTTAATTGTGGGCTAAAATTTACCCCTCAAAAGTTGCAATGACTTAATCGCTAAACTGACGCAAATTAATTCCTTTAAACTCTTGGGATAATTTCTACTCAAAATTTGGTCCTAGAATTAGGAAGGTAAGGCAAAGAGGCTTACTCTGAAAAGGCGAGAGGAGAGATGCAGGTTACTTAGTGGACTAAGTAGAGAAGAAGAGAAGGGACTTAGGAGTAGAACACAGGACAGGGCCTTGCACCACTAGGCTCAGTCATTAACAATGACACTTTGGAAGGACAGTCCAGTCTTTATCTCTGCAGCGACACTCAATCAGACGCAGGAAGGGGGACCGAAGTGAGAGCCCCGAGTAAAGTGAAAATCGGAGACACCTACTTCCACCCATCTCTTGTGCTCTGAGGGGCTGGCTTCCCACGTCCTTGGCCGGGTCCCAACTTGGGAGGAGAACATCTCGACCGCCACAACCAAATCGGGACAAACTAGGAACCTCTGCACCCAGAGCCCGACGCGCAGCAGACCACCCAACACGCTCACTCTGGCTCCCGAAACTGAAGTTGGCCGGGCCCGTCCAGTGTCTTCTCACTTTGGACGGCCCGCGAGCCCCTGGCGTTGGTGCCGCAGTTCTATTGGCCAGAAGCTTTGTTTAAGGACGTTTCCTCGGAACAGCCTATGGCGGAGAGGCTCCCGGGTCCGCCCCCAGCGCTTGGCTACGCGGGGTCTGGTACCCTTAACTCCTTGCGTGCAGCTGGGGAATCTAGCTCTCCCAGGTGCCGCTTCAGTGACTCCTCTCCCCCACACCCCGCAATTAATTACTTTTGATAATTTTGATCTACAGCATTGTGCCCTTATAGGAGACACAAAAAGAGCATGAATAAAGCACAGCAGGAATCGAACAAATCGAGCCAAGTCCAGCATTCACGTGCAGATGAGAAAGTCACTGGGTTCCAGCCCCACGGCGTCAGTTTTGTCCGCCCTATGGCTCCGGCACAGAGCACGATGCCTGGCACAAAGCAGACGAACCCAGTGAACCTGAGGACATTTATGCAAGATACTTTATTCAGTCTTAGGGGAGAGGAGCTTAGTTTGAAAGAAACTCCAAGAATAAGTAGTGTAAACAGCACTGAGCCCAAGTTCCACAGCAAACGTACTTATTGAAGGCAAGGAATATGGAGAGGACTCCGTTTTGCAGAGTTTATCTTAGACCGGTTTTTCTCCAGGCAAATCAGTAAGATTAAAAAGCGCACAAACACTCAGAGGCACACACACTGGTTTCAACTAAGGAACGGGCATTCGAGGTCGAGTCCGAAAGGAGCTCATTTGACCTGTATTTCACAGCAGGTTTTACATTGCGCCCGCCAGGCGAGCCTGTTGCTCCCGGGACACAGATCTCTAGTCTCGGCCGCCTCGAAGCTCAGCTGGTCCTCTCTCTGCCTCTAGAACCACCAGCGACCACCCCACACCCAGCCTCGAGCCCCAAGAGCCTGAAGCTGTCCGCGAGAATCCCTGTAGATGGGATGAGGTTTGCTAACTAACTAAGAGAGAAGGAAGGTAACAGTTATTTTACTCTCTCTGGTTTTTGTTTGTTTTGTTTTGTTTTGTTTTGTTTGTTTTGTTTTTGAGAGAAGTGGCTAGGAGGTGAGCAGAGAGTTAGAGGCAGCTAGGTCTCACCTCCGCCTCCTGCTGGGAGAGCTCCAGGCGCCCTTGGATCCGGCGGTCTTTAGGACCCAGCGGTGGGCGTCCCGGAAGGGGAAGGTGAGGGGGCTGAGCTACAGCCGCGAAGTGCGCTCTGGGGCCGGGAGAGTTTGAACCGCGCGCAGGCGCCGGCGGCCGTGGAGGGGCGAGATCTCGAGTGGCTGCGGGCTCGGGAGCCTCTGGCCGCTGCGGGAGCTGGGCCTGCGCTCGTGTTTCTTCCGATCCGGTCGTCGTGCGCGAGCCACTTAAATCCAGTGAAGTCGTAAGGTCCCGGCGTGGCTGGAAACGGAGCACCTTGTACACACTAGGTAGGGTCTCCTCCTGGGCCTCGACTTCCTCCAGTACGTGCTGGGCGCGAGCAGCGGGTACTGCAACCCAAGTCCTGCAGGAGTAGGGGCATGAGGGCTCCCCCTGCTCTGGTTCTTATTCCGGCTTCTCGGAGTAGTTAGGTGGGCGTTCTCGGCTTATGGCGGTGATGGTGACCGCATGTTGAGCGTTCACCCCATGCCACTTAACCTTTCTGTGCTGAGCTTCCCCATAAATGGAAACAGTCGTGGTACTCGGTGTAGACTTGTTGTGAAAGTGAAATAAATTAATCCCTTAAATTAATCCCTGGTGAAGCGCTTCGATTTGTGTCGGGTCCGAGGTAAGCGCACAGAAAAGTTAGCAGCTGTCATTGCTTCCCCACACGTACCCCGAATCCACTCACTAAGTTCTCTCCCCAACTTCTCCCATCAGGCAGCTCCCCGAGTCCTTGCAGGAGCCTCCTCACTTCTGTCTCCCTCCAAACCATTCTCCATCCAGAGTTGTAAGGAACGGTATATTTTTAAAAGAGGTAAATGGGGCCCAGGTACTCTTATTAAAGTCCTTCAGTGGAGCCCCATTGTTCTTAGAATAAAACCCAGAATCGTTAATAGTGTTTACTCCTCCTCCCCACGTCCTTCCTCCTGGACCACTGTATTCCTGGACCGAGTCCTTGCCTCTGCTCTTGCAATTACTACAGCCTGGTTCGCACCTGATGGCCTTTGCAGGTTGGGTTCCCTCTACTTGGAATACTGCTACGCCTTGTCCGCGCTGGTTGCTTTCAGCCTCCAGATCTCACTTAAATATTACTTATTCAGCGTTCCATAGTGAGGACAGCCCTGATTCTGTCCCATACCTAAAAAATGTAAGGAATGTCTGTAAAGATATCTTGGTTTTTTGTTCATTTATTGTTGTGTTGGTCTTTTTCTTTTCCCCTGAAATACATAAGCTCTTCTAGGGCAGCACCCATTTGTGTGTTGTTAACTCTTCATTCCCAATGCTTGGCACATAGTAGCTGCTCAGTAAGTATTTGTTAGATGAATGATTGTACTCTGGAAGGTAGGTATGATACCCCTTTTATAAAGAAGGATACTTAGGTTCAGCAGTTAAGTAACCTGAGTGCACGTTTGCCACCTAGTAATGAGATCAGGGCCCATATTTGCCCACCAACAACCCAGACAGGGCCTCAGTTGAGGAGCCTGACCCTGGTGCCCTCCTGATAGTCTGCAAATTCTGTAAGTAGCAGCAGCTGGGTGTAGTATAAAAAGGACTGCCCCAGCTGGGTGTAGGGTGGTGGGGGGAGAGGGAGAGCTAGCAGCTTTAAGAGGAGTACTTATTTGTACCCATTAATTTTTTAAGTCCTTATTAAAAGTTCTAATACTTCAAGCTGGCAAATGGTGGGAGAATTTCTTTAGTATTTCATCTTCTTTGGCATATATTTTCCTCTTGAAATAAAGAAAGTGAAAATTAGACTGTGGTTTACAAAATAAAAGTGTTTTGCTTCAATACAAGTTCTTTCTCTGCAGGGCTTAGCAGTTTGTTTTAGGACCAGGACCGTAAGCTTATTATTTATTATGTATTATTTAGCCCTGCTAGATAATGTACATACAGAATTGATCATTTGACACTGTCTTGAGGATTTTCTTAAGATTTATGATAGGTAGTTAGCTTATCTTTGGGGAAGTAAGAATCACTGAAGTCCTTCGGGCTCCGTGCTTCAGTGAGGGATAGCTATATAAATTCCACTTTGACTATAAAAATTTGAGCCTACTCAGAATTACTCTTGAAATTTCTTACATTGGCCTTAACCCCAGCCTAACTTTGGAAGCTTCAGGGTCAAGAATGAACTTTTTTGTTTTATTTTGGACTTTGGCTCAACCCCTATCCCTGGGGCATCTAAGAACAAGGTCTAGGTTGAAAGACTAAGGGAGGGGAGGGGAAGGTGACCAGGATTTTTGCTATCACTGTCTTTGCCAAATTCCTTAGTAGAGTTTGGTAATGTGCCCCTAAGCACCTGCAAAGCAGCTGATGTCGGTAACATGACTCAGCATCTGGTAGGTGTCAGATATGCTGTATGTATCGTAGACAGTCATATGACAGGGAATTTGAGAGCAGTAAAGTTAGTTTGCCAATGGCCTAGTGCATGGGAAATAATAATATCTCCATCTTTTCATTTCCAGAAGAAGTATAATGTCTCAGGAAGGTAATTATGGGAGGTGGACAATATCCAGTAGTGACGAAAGTGAGGAGGAAAAGCCCAAACTGGACAATCCATCTACCTCTCTTCTCCCCCATGCCGGGCAGCGAGCAGTGTATGAGCCCAGGTACACCTGTTCCGAGGCCCGGAAAGCCGCCCACAGGAGGAAAATATCACCTGTGAAATTCAGCAACACAGATGCAGCTTCAGAAGTTTCACCTCCCAAGAGGCAGAAGAGCAGCTCCCAGGAAGAGCTGGGTTGGTGCCTCTCCAGCAGTGAGGACGATGAGCTGCCCGCAGAGACGCAGCAGAAAGTGGCTGTCAAAGAGGAGAGGGGTGCTTCCTCTCCCAAAGGCGGTGGCACCCCACACGCTGGCCATCAGGGCCCTCCCGCCGGCCGTGCCCTCGCGGAGGACGAAGACGAATACGAAACGTCAGGGGAAGGCCAGGACATCTGGGACATGCTGGATAAAGGGAACCCCTTCCAATTTTACCTCACTAGAGTCTCAGGAATTAAGCCAAAGTACAACTCGGGAGCCCTGCATATCAAGGGTAAGTGGTGCTGGTGTGGGGGCCTGTCAGACAGCTCGCGAGAGGGCCCTGGGGTGAAACCCGGAAGGCAGCCTCGAGGGATCTCCAAGACCCTCGTGGCCTTATCCCGCTCAGGAAGAAGGAAAACACCACGGTGACAGCAAACTGTCTCCTTCGGGCAGGAAATCAGAGGCTGTTTCTCACAGGCCTGTAGATGAGCACTTCCAAACACTTAGTGCAGTGTGTAGAATTGTTTAACTTGTAACCTAGAGATTAAACTTGATCAGTAGCACTTTATTAATGAGGTTGCAGACACTTGATATCGGCAGTTCTCGTTGGTCGCTGGATCAGTAGCGTCAGCATCACCTAAAACTTGTTAAAAATGCCTGTTCTCAGTCCTACCCACATTCACTGGGAACAAGGCCCTGCAATCTGTTTAACAAGCCCTTTAGCGGATTCTAACACCCAGTCAAGTTTGAGGACCACTGCTTGGAAGCCTGGCCTTGGTTCCTGGTGAAGAAGCTAAAAAAAAATGCCAGCATGCAAATACATGCTTCAGTTCTGAACCAAAAGATGGTCTTTGGTTGCTTTGGTTATTCCCTGGGATGCATCTGTGTGATATTGTTATATATTTGGGTTTCCTCTCTGGTTATATTTGGTTTTTGTCCTAGGCTCCTCAAACAGCTCCAAAGTAATAAAGGTCAAAGGATGTTTTGTTATTCACAACAGGCCCCTTTCAGCCACACCTGAGCTTATGTTGATGAGGTGACTTTTGGAAAGCCCCAAGAATGGGGGCTCATTGCCCAGTGAACCAACCACGTGATTGAAGGTGGAACTTGCTGCCTTATCTCCTGTCTCCCGGGGGAGGAGAGGGAGTGGAGGTCAAGTGAATCACTAATGGCCGGCGGTTCAGTCAATCGTGCCTGTGTTACAAGGCCCCCTTACAGCCCCCTAACTGAGTGGGTCTGGAGAGCGTTCAGGTGGGTGCACACGAGGAGGTGCCGAGAGGGTGCAGTGGCTCTGTCCCCTTCCCCTGTACGGCAGTGCCCGATGCATCCCTCCCACCTGGCTCTCCTTAGCGGCCCCCTTTTATAATAAACCAGTCATCGCACGTGCTTTCCTGATCTGTGGGACTAGCAAATTATCGACCCTGAGGAGGGGATCATAGGAAGTTACAGGCAGAGAAGCACAGGAGGCCTGGGTTTGGGGTGGGCGTCTGAGGTGGGGGCAGTGTTGCGGGACTGAGCCCCTAACCTGTGCGAGATTTGATGCTAATGCGAGGCAGATGGTGTCAGAAGTGAATGAAATTGTAGGGTATCCAGCTGGCGTCTGGAGAGAATTGGAGAATCGGTATGTGGGGAACACCCAGCGCACTTGGTGTCAGAAGCTTTGGGTGAGGAGAGAGAGCAGTTTCCCTTTAAGGGGGAGCACCAGGAGCTCCAGAATCCAGAGATGGGATTTGAATCCTGGCTTTGCCCCTCCCTTGCTGTGTAGGTAATTAACAAAGGACCAACCAGACTTTTCATTTCAGTGTACTCTTTTTTTTAAACCTGGGGATTCAGAAAAAAGAAGGAAAATACACGAAGTGACCAGCACAATATGCTAATGTGGCAGATGCACAAACTAAGCATCGCTCTTTTCCAAGTTACCTATTTTTCCAGCCCACTTTCAAGATTAGGTTATGTTCACTATCAGCAGTGTTTTAATTACATATCAATTATATAATTGTATATTACATATCTTCTCTAATATGTAAGTGTTGGTGTATTCCATAATGTAAGGAGTTAGATTCTACAGGTTATTTTTTTTTTCTTTTTGAGAATGTCTTGTCTGGGTACTTTGAAGAAATATTTCTAGATTTCAGTGTTTTTGTTTTATTTGACAGAGATTGATACAGGAAATCAGTAGAGAACTGTGCAAGGTGTTGCTGTATAATAAAATAAGGACTGGCTGTTAGCACTAAGATACTGAGGAAGGAGAGGGAACATTAAGCTAGGAGCTTTTGAATGAGTATCTCCTTTAATTCTCATAACAGCCTATTAGGAGATGTTACAGTTGTCCTTCTTGGACAGGTGACAGATCTGCAGTTTAGACAAGTTGAAAAATCTGCCTAAAGTCACAGAGCTGATAAATGATAGAGCTGGGATTTGAACCCAGGAATTCAGCATCAGAATCTATGCTTTTAACTGTTCGATAAATCAGTCCAACATATGGAAGGGTACACATGACATCTGTTGGGTTGGCCAAAAAATCCATTACTTTTTTCCGTAATATAAAATAGGCATTTTTTTCATTTTCACCAGTAACTTTATTGATTTGGATATTTTGAGTATGTCAGCTATCTCCTGCATGGTATAATGTTGATTGTTATCAGTGTCTCAGTTTGATTGCTATCAACTTCAACTGGCCTACCTGACTGTGGAGCATCGTACAGCAAGAAATCTCCAGCACGAGACTTTACAAACCACTTTTGACGCATTAGATACACATTCGATCAGTCACAGTACCTTTTCCACACACTGCACAAATCTTTTTCTGTGTTTCAGTTGCGTTTTTACCTTTTTTAAAATAATAGGCCAAAAATGTTGCATATCTTCTATCTTCAACATGAAAATGGCTGCACAGAAATTCACCAATTTCGATGTGTTGTTTTTTTTTAAATGCATGCTGACATGACAACTGTCACAATACAATCTAACAAAATCACTCCTAATGAAGTTAAAGACAACTAAGCACTACTAGAGCCATCGTACAGAAAAAACATAACAGACGTTTTGGTCAATCCAATACAAAATTGTGGCTTGTTTAGAAGATGTCATTGAGGAAGAGGGACTTCAGATGGTCCAAGAAAGATAGATAAAATTTAGAAAGGTGGAAAGAGGAGTGACGAGTAGGGCAGAATGGAGGACATGATCAAGGACTATGTTGCGGTTTTATCTCCTGATGGTACAACTCTCCCATAAAGGTAGGAGCTTCGCTAAGAGGAGTTTTTTTGCACTTGTACAATCTTTGTGCCCAGGTGCCTAGCTCATGCCTGGAAGACAGAAGGCACTTAGTAAATGCGGGTCAAATAGATGAATGAGCCCGTTCTTAATCCTCAGAGACAGTTGGATGGTTAAGAGCAGCAGCGCTGGAGTGGACAGCCTGCGTCAGAGCCGGACTCTGCCTCGGCCTAAGGACACTCCTCATGGACACAACGGGAGCGACAGATCCCACCTCGGAAGCTGTGAGAGAGGAGTGGGAGTTGACTTGTGGAAAGTGCCAGGAATGGGGCCTGGTCCTCATAGGTCCTGTAGGAGGGCGGCTCTTAGAATCGGCAATGGTGACAATGAGCAGTCGAGTTCTTCCTCTCATGGTGGTGGTTCTGAGACGTGAGCTTCCTGGCCTCTCCAAAGTCAGCTGGAGCGGGCGTGAGGTGGGACCTCCTCGGAGAATGCTAGAAATACCAGCTCGGACCTGTGGCGGCCTCTGCCGTCTCCTTCACAGGAACCAAGGTAGTCCTGGGTTGGGGAGGTAAAGATTGAGAGACCTGGAAAGAGGAACCACGTGTATCATTATTGTCCTTGTTGGCAGCTTCTAAAATGGACCGCTCATCCAGTATTGAAGTTGTAGTTTTTAATTTTATGTTACCTTGTACTAAAGAATACATAGTAAGTATTATTACATAGCACAGAGAAATTTCCTCTGGAATGTTATAGAACACTGAAGTCTACCGTTGTAGTAATTTTTCAGTTCGCTACTTTCTAAGCCAAACTTTGAGCATCAGTGACTATTAAGCCAGTTGTGATTATTACTATTTTTATTGATTGATTTTTGGGGAGAAAGAGGAAAAAAACCATCTATTTGTTCCACTTATTTATGCATTCATTGATTGCTGCTTGTATGTGCCCTGACTGGGGATGGAACCCACAGCCCGGTGTTTAGTACAACGCTTTAACCAGCTGAGCCACCTGGCCAGGGCCTGTTGTGGTTATTATTACTAGAGAATTTTTATCAAAATATGAATTAGATTTAAATGTTTTGTCTTCTCAGATATTTTATCTCCTCTATTTGGGACACTTGTATCTTCAGCACAGGTGAGTTTACAGTTAAGACTGTTTGTTTGTTTGGGGGTTAGCGGCGGGGGGTTGTTGAAAGGGGAGAAGTAATTAAACAATTCCATAAGAAAATGTAAGTGATGGGGAACCGTGTCTCGGTCCTGTGCGGGAGGGCACGTATCACAGCCACAGTGTGGGATCCACAGCCACCCCCGTGGAATGCAAATGCCACTGTCAGTGGGCTCCTGGCTCTGCATTAGGCAACAAGCACTAGCTAAGAAGTCACTTTGGAAATTTCGGCCTGAGGGCTCAGGACAGTGATTATCCGGTGGGACTGTCATGCAAACCCCCCAGGGAGGTATGGGCAGAAAAGTGAAAGACAGCTCAAGTTTGATTTAGAAAAGTAAGAAATTTTCTACAGCTACAAAAGAAAAAAAAAAGTGACTAAAAGTTATGGCTACTTTTGCGTGTTTGATTGCTCCTGCCAGACAGAGCCGGTCCCTTTGTTTTGATAAATCACTTAATGCTCCAGGCTGTCAACTCTGGTCAGAAAGAAAGTCCCTTCCCTGAAGAGAGCAAAGCTTTCGGGGCCTTTCATGTTTGGCTCGGCCTCAAGAATCCTGGTCCCAGATAGAACCGTGGGGTGCATTTTTGTGTGTCGTCATAGCTAGATTGAGTCTGCGTGGACTGCTTGGCTAAATTACCCATGACTCAGCCCCTTTTCTTCCCTCCCCTGCCTCCATCCAGTTTAACTACTGCTTTGACGTGGACTGGCTCATAAAACAGTATCCACCGGAGTTCAGGTGAGTTCCCCGTGATGACAGGTGATGATGTCACAATAGTAAGGGGCTCTAAAACACAAGGGTTGTGCCTTTCAGGCAGCCGTCAGCCGTCTTTTCTGAGTGTCATTTAAAACCATGCAAATCATACATGAAGTGATATTGAGAAAACAACCTTTTATTCATCTAACTAATCACATGCATTCCTTATACAGATTGTATCATCTTCCTCCATTGCTCTGTCCAGAAGTAGATAAGGACAAATTCCAACCCAAATAAGAGACCTTGATGTCCAGTGTTAATGTGAAGGAAAAGGCGCTGCCACCCGCTTTGCACGCCTGTGAGCGGGCCAGCACACAGCCGGCATGCCACGCTCTGCATACCACATCAGCGCGGTTCTGAGGGTCTGTCTCCAGCGATCCCTCCTGTAGCTTGAGTTGATAAAGGTGTCACGGGGCCTTCCCCTATCCAGGTGATGGAGGCGATAGATAGTCTGTCTTCCGGAGTTCCTCAGCCTGGGGCTCAGCAAAACTGGCCAAGTAGGCAACATCACGCAGTGACGCAGTGACGATATGCACCCGCCCTGGTTTCTAACACATTTACTTGACAGACTCCATAACAACAAGTGAGGTCCAGGAATGCACAGGCAGGGAAACTGATTATCAGATCCTGATAATCCTTCGTGCATTGAGGGATCAGATGGTGGAAACCATCAGTAACAATAGGTGAAATGCCGGTGAAATTTCCCAAGGCCTCGGCACTCAAGGGCTTGTCTTTGACCTGTGACACGTAGGATTTTTTTCTTTTTTACGTAGGATTAGTTTTAGCTGCGTGCGACAGAAAACCCAAAACAATGGTGGCTTAAACAGCCAGAAAAAAATTTCTCCAGCCTAAGAAGTCCAGGCGGTGGACATCTGATTTCTGGTTTGGGGACACCATCGCTCTCAGAGACTCACCCCTCTTTCTGTCCCACCGTCCCCGTGTGTGACTTCAGTCTTCAGAGACACCTTGAGGTCCAGGATGGCACCTGGAGCTCCAGGTCCCTGGTCTGTGTTCCAGACGGCAGGGAGGAGAAAGGGGAGGAGGAAGAGAGGGTCACACCCCAGCCGTGCCCCCTCTGAGCAGCCCTCCTGGAAGTTCCCCTCGACAGCTGCTTGTGTTTCACTGAGCAGCACTCAGTCACAGGACAGTAACCGGTCCGGCAAGAGGCTGTAAATGAGGCCTTAGCTGAGCACACCATCCTGAATGAGGTCGGCTTTTGTTAGGGAAGGGGAAGAGAGAAGGGACATCAGGAGGCAACGGGCCGTGGAGCCGTGGGCCACAGGGTCCTCCTGGCCATAAGCACCCCTGTTAGTTGCATTGGCACTTTTGTCATTCGTCCCTTTGCTTCTCAAATTGCCACGCCTTTCATGTGTTGCCAAAATATAGACGACAGCTCCTGGTGTGTCTTTCGGGTTGAATTGTCTCACCCCCAAGGAAGACCTGTTGGAGTCCCAGCTCCCAGTTCCGCAGAATGTGTCCTTATTTGAAAATAGGTTTTGTCAGGGATAGCCAGGTTTTGTCAGTAGGGTGGGCCTCACTCTAATACTGCTGGTGCGCTTCTGAGAAGCGGAAGTGCGGACACACACACAGGGTGAAGGCGCAGGGAGCACCCCGCCCAGACGCTGAGGGAGAGGCCTGGACCAGAGCCTTACCTCAACCTCACAAGGAGCTGACCCTGCTGACACCTTGATCTCAGACCTCTTGTTCCCAGAATTGTGAGGCCAAAACTTGTTGTTAAACCACCCCCCGCCCCCCAGTTTATGGTACTTTACTATGGCAGCCCCAGCGAGCTGGCGCAGTAGTCACGGGCTCTCAGTAACTATAGTCGGGGACAGAGGAGTCCCGCCTGTCCCACCCCACTCACGCTAGAGGCAGCCTAGGAATGCTGTCAGGAGGAGGAATGACCTAAATGTCAAGGTCCGGTAGTTAATTCCAGAATTTATAGAGAGAAACATTCAGACTGTAGAGGTGTATATATACTGCCTTATGTTGCCCAGATGCTGGCTGTAGAAGGGTTTTCCAGAAAAGCAGAACCAATAGACCTTACACAGGGCGGATCACAACTAGGCACACACTTGTGAGTACACAAAAGAGTTTAATTATTCTGTTATCCATGTGAACAGCTGTATACCTGCTTTAGTCCCGCCCTGTATATGGAGATTTATGTTGGGCAGTTGGCCGGCTCAGGAAAAAAGCCACTCCTCCCTCCACTTGGTCTTCCGGCCCAGGCTGTCAGTAGACTAGATGGTGCGCACCCCGATCAGGGAGGGCTCTCTGCTCTGCGAGTCCACCCATTCAAATGCCGATCTCATCCAGGACCCCCAGCACAGAGACACCCAGAGGTCATGTTTGATCCAGACACCCCTTGGCCCACTCAAGTTGACATATGAAATTGACCATCACCGCTGCCTTTTTGTAATAGGTTATGGAATCAGTAAATGTGAAGGAATTCATGTAGACTTCAACTCCTGTCAGTAATGTTTTATTTTTTATTTCAAAAAAACATCTGATGGCCTGATACCACTAATTGTTTCTGGGCGATAGAGGGTTGAGTTTCTGTTACCTGGTTCTCTGGACTGTTTTTCTAGTTGTAAAATAGCAAAAAGTTGGGAAGGTGTGTTCCCTACTTTATTTGCACTAACATGTTAATGGGAGTTAAGGAGCTAGGCATCTGCGCCAGAAGTGCATTTTCTGTGATCTTTCTTTTTGTTGCGAGAACCCCGTTCCTGTGGGGGGGGGGGGAGTTGGTCTGCTCCATGATTGATAACTGTGGAAGGAGCTGTAGTTGTTCATCTTGCTTGATTGCTCATTGGAGAAAAATCCAATTTTTGTTTTGTTGGGAGTACTTGTAAAGGTATATTGATTTCTAAGGATCATCTCACTTTGAATTAACTGGAGATCATGCTTCCCTGAAAAAGCCTTTTAAATCTAATCTATTCCTGAAGAGCATTTGTATGTTGTCCTTTAGGAATGCAAAAATACAGCAGTTTTAGTGTATCTTCGGCTCTGTTTCATTGAAATAGATCCACCTTTAATGAGTCTGCATCGTGCTGTGGACATGGGCCTGGTCACTCATGTATTACAGTGCCCAGTACATAGTAGGAGCTTGGTAAGTGTAGACCTAGCAAGGTTTCAAAAGAGGAAGGAAAAGAGCATTGTGCTTTACAATAGTAATTTTATATTTTTTAATCTGTCTGAATTTAAACATAGTAACACAGAGCTGTATACCCCTTGCGACCAAAGAAGGTGTAATTCATTACCCAAGAACATTCTTGAGTCATAGCCCCTCGGGGTCGCTGTAGAGCTTCAGGATCAGGCCACATGGCCCCATTAAAAAGGTAAGTGCTTAATAAAGATTAAGTGGCCGCTGTTCAGTGCCAGCCCCACACTCAGTCAGCACAAAGGCCAGGAGCTCGTGCAGGGCGAGAAGGAAGCTCGCACGCCCTCCCTGGGCAAGGGTCCGGCCTTATGAATGACGTATATTAAATGTTATGCTTCTGGCCTCTTTCAGGAAGAAACCAATCCTGCTTGTGCATGGCGATAAGCGAGAAGCTAAGGCTCACTTACACGCTGAGGCAAAGCCTTACGAAAACGTTTCCCTCTGCCAGGTGAGCTGCTGCTTGCCGTTCGAGGTCACGCTTGGTCTGTGAGTTGGAAGGAAGTTTAGGCACTTCCTCTCTCTACCTGCCTAGCTCAGGAATTCTCTCTCCAGCATCCCCAGCAGACACTTGCCTAACTTTGGCCTGAATGCTTCCTGAGGAAGCCCTTGTGGTTAGAAAGATTTTTCTTCACATCGACCTCATATCCCTGTATTAGGGAGGGTTCTTCAGGGAAACATCCTATGGCAAGGGCAGGGGGTGGGGGGTGTGCGTGGGGCCCACTGGCAAGTCCGAAACCCAGGGAAGAATGGACGTTGCAGCTGGAGTCCACAGGCAGTCTGGAGACTGAATCCCCCTTCCCTGAAGGAGCCAGTCTTCTCTTGAGGCCTTCAGCAAATGGGGTGAGGCCTGCCTACATTGTGGAGGTCAGTCTGTTTTCCTCAGAGTTCACTAATGTGACTGTTAATCTTACCTAAAACTACCTTCACTGCAACACATGATCAAATACCTGGATACTGTGGCCTAGCCAAGTGGACATGTAAAATTAACCATCCTTCCTCCTGGGACTGTGCACATTGGTCCTACTTTTTACCCTCTGGAGCCGCATAGAATAATTCTCCTTCTAGCGTGTGTCAGTGATTCTTACACTTGATGGCATCTCCCTTAGTTGTCTTTCTCCAGCTGGGTTGGACATACCACGGATTCCCTCTCTCCCGCCAACCACTGGTCCTGCTCTGATTGCGTCTAGTTCCGTGTGCCTCTCAAAACCTGGGCTTCAGCACTGCGATTCAACCGCTGTGCTTTAGATGGTTGGAGTTCGAAAGCATTCTTTGTCCCAGTATGTTTGTGGCTCACCTTCTACTCAGACATGCCTTTGCTTAGCAGTTGCTAAAACCCCCATTGTTTGCTTTTACTTCCCAAAACAGAAGGGGCTAAACTGCAGTAGGACAGTGCTCATCAGACTAAAAGTGGTCAGAAAATAAAATAACATAGGAATCTTGAAAATTAGTAATTCAGTCAAAAGAAATAGTGTTTTTCAAATAACTACCTGTCCTGAAAAATTTAGGAGACGTTGTGGCGTGCTCCAGACCCGCCACTAGAGGGCGGGGTGAGCCGCTGTCTTCCAAACCTCCTGCAAAGAGCTGTTCGGGAGCTCCCAGGTCTAGCGTGAGGTAGGGAAGGACTGTGGCCCCATCCTGGCTTATTGAAATACCTTATGTCTTAAGATGAATTCCTGACCTTGACCTCAGTCAAAGAATTGGCAGATGCTAACACTTCCCTCACTTTGTACATACGGGGCCAGAGGCCGGATTGGGGCCTGCTGGTGGACGAGGTTCGGGCTACCTGGGTTCTGTCCCAGCTCTTCACGTACCAGCTGTGTCATTATGGGCTCATCACGGAACCTCTTTAAGCTTAATTCGTTCATCTTTAAAGTGGATTGCTGATACTCTTCTTCACAAGGTGGTTGTACAAGGGATTTGGTGCATTTGCCCCAGAAAGCACCCAATCAATGTTAACTGTTGAAGTTATTATTATCCTTAATTTTATGCTTAGACTTGCCAAAAATCACACAACTTAGAGCAAAACTAAACTTGAAAGCCAAGTCTCTAGACCAGGAGTGTCCAACCTGTAGCCCACGGGCCGCATGCGACCCAGCACAATATCGTAAATTAAAGCATTATGAGATTTTTTTGTGTGTGATTACATGTCACAATGTATTTAATGTGTGGCCCATGACAACTCTTCTTCCAGTGTGGCCCAGAGATGCCAAAAGGTCAGACACCCCTGCTCGAGACCATTGCTTTTTCTGAGCTAAGTATCAGTTTACAGAGTGGCACCTTCATTCTACTTTTGTGATTTTAGAGACATCGACCACAGTTCCTGCTCTCTCTACTGTGGCCAGACCGCACAAATATAAGCTGGCCTGTGAGCATCCCCAAACACTGAGTGCGAGAGCCTAGTGACCTGGGCCGCCTGGTCGTGAGCACGGTCACTATAGGGACCGGGTCACACTCACCTGTGTCTCCCAGTTGCTCACACTGCTGCCAGCAAACAGGTCCGCCCACCTGTCCGGTGGTAGGTGGGCGGGGGCTGCTCCAGGGCTTGCCCCCGTTTCTGGAGCCCTGCCTGGTGCACACCCCATTTCCTACACCCCTGAAACACTTTTTCTCACACCTAACAACTATCTGAACCTCTTAATAGTCCCATCATTTGAAAGAGGAGGAAGATGAAGCACAGAGATTTACGTATTTTTCAGTCATGCAAATTCATGAAGCTAGGATTTGTGTGTTGCTTACTGCTATTTCGACATTTCTATTTTAACTCTTTCATAACGTACATCTTGGGCATGTTCTGCTTAACCAAGGTCTTGCCACACTGAGTGTTAGATAAAATGTGTGACTTCTCCACCCCCCCTCACATTTGTATGTGAAGGTGTCATTTTGTAACGTGAAAATGGATTTAATACTGTATTATGTTCTTTTTTTTCAGCACTTGCTGTGTTATTAAGAAAACTTCTGTTTTAATATCATAACACAAGTCTTTCTGCTGCCACCACAGTCAATGTTTTTTGAATATGCTCTGAAAACTTTTTGTATTTATTAATTTCTGTATAAGCCAAATTAATCTCCTTTTAAAACTCTGCATAATCTCATTTGTTTTCATTAGTGTTTTGATAACTAAAGAAATTAGGCTTTTTAGCTTATAATTACTATAATGAAAAATGCAAAAAGTATTGAATCATTTTGGGTAACTAAAAAAAATTTTTTAAACAAGCCTCACTGGGTAGTACAAAAGCGAAGTTGTTGATCAAGGGCTTGTCCACTAGAGGGCAGTAAAAGCAGTTAAAGAAAGTTGACCTGAAACTTTACTGATTTAATTACCAATAGCGGGGAATATTATTGAGTTTTCTTTTTTTGTTGTTGTTTTGTTTTGTTTCAGTAAGTGACTTAACTTCTTTTTCATCCTAGGCAAAGTTGGATATTGCATTTGGAACACACCACACGTAAGCAATTTTTATGAAATGAGAGAGGGTATGATTTTAGTAGACAAAAGGATGCTATTCAAAAAGTGCCCTTAGGGGAACTCACATGTGATGGTTTTGCTGGGGGGAAATCTGTCAGTAAAGAATTAATGGAAGTAGAGTTGTTTTCTAACAGCCATAAGACAAAATACTGGGATCCAGCTTTCAACGTTAAAGCCTGAATCCCTCGTGCGGTTTCTGGTTTCTGTTCAGGACGTAGGAGAACAGACGCAGTGGTGTGTGGTCCGTGGTTGTAGGTGACTGTACATGTGTTAGTGACATGCCTGTGGGTTTCATTGCCTTAAAGATAGTCTTGTGGTTTTTATGAGATTCTGAGTTGCATCAAGTAGAATATTGATGGTCACCTCCACCCTGTGATAGGAGAAAAACTGTTTTACAAAAAGTTATCAACGCAGTGTCCTGTCTGGTGTGGCTCAGTGAATTGAGCGCATGTCTGCAAACCCAAAGGTCACTGGTTTGATTCCCAGTCAGGGCACGTGCCTGGGCTACTGACCAGGTCCCTAGATGAGGGGCAACAGATCAGTTTCTTTCTCACATCGATGTTTCTTTTCTTCTTCCTCCCTCCCTTCCCCTCTCTCTAAAAATAAATAAATAAAATCTTTAAAAAAAATAATTGTCGATTCAAGAGGCTGATGCCTGTTCCTGCTCAAGACATCCCACAAATCTCCTTCAGGATACTTTTCTGAGATCTTGCAAATCAAAGACAGGACAAACTTTTCTGTTACTTCTGACTTGATATATTGCACCCAGTTAACAACTTGACTCCTGTTTTAGGTTAGTTTTACAGCCGGTTTTGCTGAGCCCTTTTACATATATGTGGAAATATTTCAATTTTTTTTTTTTTTTTTTTTACACATCCCATTTCTCGGGAAAGGATTTGTGAAATGAATGTGACAAAGCCTCATCTTTCGTCTAGACCAGTGGTGGAACTGGGTAGCCGGCTGCTTCCGGCTTGTTCCCTCAGTGTCTGCAGGGCAAAAAGGAATCTCGAGGTGGGAGGGCGAGTCTTTGTGATCACAGTTTTTCTGATAAGACGGCAGCCTGAAATGAGGGTATACATTCAGCTTTCTTTTATACACTTAAAACTATATTTTGCCAATTTCCTGTAAAAAAGAAATGAGAGTAGAAAGAGTTGAGCCATTTTGTAAAATATACCCACCAACCCCGCATTATCTAGTCTTAGGTGCTCGTGGGTAAATGCTGCAGCAGGTACCAACTGTCCCTCCCTGGAAGCTTCAGTCTAGCAGAAGACAGGGTTTGAGGGGTGTTGAAAGTGAGCTCCAGGAGCAATTCTTTGCGCAGCCTAGAGCTCACAGGATGCTAATTCAGCAGAGGATGCAAAATGGCCTTGAATAAGGCAGTGCAAGGGCGAAGTCACCCTGTCGTTAACAGGCTAGCCAGGAGTAGCAGGACTTCTGCCTCCCTCCCAGGAGGGACTGAGTCTGCTGGGCCTGGCCAGGATCTAGCACAGGAATGTTCGGTGGAGCCCAGAGGGGCTGTCCTTTTTTAAAAGCTATTCAAAAAAAAATTTTAGCCCTTCGTTTTATAGACCAGAGGCTCCAAGTAGATAAGCAGTTTCCTTGAGCCGGTGCTGGCAATGGGAATTTTTGGTTGCTTGCTGCTAGAAAGGACTCATTGTTTGCTCTGGTCCATCCTGCCCTCCCCCACAGACACACACTCTGCAAGTTCATTCCCCCACTGCCCCCCAACAGACACCCTTTGAAGGTTAAACCAACAGAACTCTTCATTCGAGCTATAAATGCTTCTGTAATTAAAATAGAACCTTTCCCAACCACGTAGTATGTGTAGTTTACATTTCCTTAAAATGACAGCATCTTGTAGGAGATTGAACTTATATCTTGAAATTACTTTCATTTGATCATTTTAAAATGTTTTGGGAATTATTCATTAAATATATTCTTGAGACAGAGCTCTAGTGGAAATAAAGTGTTTTGAGATGATTTTTGTTTTTGAACATTTTAGTCTTTTCGTAAGAGAGGAAAGACAAACATATGATTTAGAAAAGGAAGAAAACCTTCCAGCTCCTGGTGATGGGGCGTAAACCGCCTCCCAGCTTGACAGAGTGGAGCTACCATAGGAAATAGGAAGTGGCCTTGGAGATCACATTCACTTGAGCAAACATGTGTTGACCTGTGTTCCAGATGCTGTGCAGAGCATCTGGAAGTGACCAGATGCAGCCTGTCCTCACGGAGCCCGGAGTCCCGTGAGGCGCATTAAACGTACTCCGTCTGTATTTCATAACATGTCAAGCAGCCCCGGGCTGTCTCTTGCAAGGCTTAGAATGCTATTGCTTTTCAGTTTCCCCCAGACCTAGGAGCAGGGTTAGCTCCTGAGGATCGTAAGCAGAAAGGAGGGAAGCCAAAGCAGCTGCCTGTCTGCTGTCCACAGTCCCACGGGGCCAGACTGCAGGGTGAGTGGAACGTGCCTCTTTCCACTTCCATCCGCAGTCCTTCCTTTCACCTCGATCATTCCTCTCCTCGCCCACTCCCACCCCAATATGATAATTACCTCCCACCTCTATTATAGTTACTCACATAAGCATTTACAGCTCCTAGTGCCCTGAAAGGTGCGAGCCCTTGTCTATCCCTGCGAGGCCACACACAGTGAGAGGACAACCCGGCACGTCTGACCCAAACAAGCTCTTCCTCTGGCTCATTCGGTGACTGGCGCCTCTCCCAGCCACGGGTTCAGCAGCAGAATGGAAGTGACAATGCCCTCTCCGGGCCCCCGTGGGCATTTAACACGCTGGCGTCCGGCAGAACCTCTAGGATGGTGTCTGGCGCGTAGGGCTCTGCCAGCGTTGGTTTTCTTTCCCCCGTCACAGGAATGGCTTCAGGTTTGGCCAGTGTCCCTTTTGCTGCCCCCACAGCTCAGTACGTAACATGCAGGTCAGCATTCTTCAAGGGAGACCCCACCTCTTACCCCTTTTTATCCGTGTTCAATTGTGACCTGATAGGCACATGCCCTCTTGTCTTTGAAAGGATTCGCATGACTGCCCGTAGGTTCGTTGACTGTTCCCTAATGGGGCTCGGTGACACCAGCGTGCAGCTTCCCTGGTGATTGATGCCTCGCTTAATGGAAGTATTTGTAAAACTCCTATCATGAGTTCATAACTGACTTATCCTTAATTATAATCAGCTGCTAATTTGGTAAGTGTACATAAATTTGCCCAGATTTCAGGACGCACAAGTCGTAAATGGGAAGAGGATTGGCTCAACAGCTGTTACTTCTCCAGCTTTGCATTAACTTACTGTTTGCCAGCGCGGGCTAAAGTCTTGTCTTGGCGAGCTCTGGATCTCATTCTCTGTCCTCACATTCTTGCCTGTATCTTTTTAGGCTAACCCCGTCCAGTCCAAACAGTATGCATGTTGTTTACTTGAGAGAACAATGTGTGAACTGATATCAGTAAATACTAAGTAGCATTTTGGCCTTGTGTGAATCTCCGGTTGGATAGAGAGCTTAGCTTCCTGAAACAATTAGAAAACAATCAGGAAGCCAAAAATCATTCAGCGGTAGATGACAGAAGGAAGCAAGGCATTGAAGGACTAATGAGAGTGTTGCGGTGAGTGCTTTACATCCAACAAAATGCACGTTGTGCTTCATTCGTACACCTACCCTGTGAAGTAGAAAACGGGGGGATGTGCGTTGAGCCTTCATATGACGAGTGAAAAAAATCAAGGGTCACGGAATGACATAGGGTCATATCGCTTCTACCTGATGAAGACTGAAGCTTAGGTCTTCATACTTCAAATGGGAAGCTCTTCTTTATATACTGTTTCCCTCTCTTACTGTCACTAAAACAAAAGACGTCTGATGACTAGAAGCCTGGGAAAGCCCTGTGGGGAAGAGAGGACTCAATTAGGACTGAGTTGAGTTAATGGAGAAGAAAAGGGAAGACAGGCCTCAAGCCCAGGCACACTGGTGACAAGCGTGGCATCTGTGGAGTAGGAAAATGAAGCCTCTTTCAGACTTTGTCAACTGCAACCCACAATAAGAAATACATTTGGCATTTTAGTCTGTCACACACGTTCATACTCATATGGCAAAACAAGGTTCACGAACAAATATGCAGTACACTCGAGTTTAAAATTTATTCTGTTGCGATTTGTTTTTTTAAATGCTAGTCATGACAGCGAGAGGTTGTGACCATACTTTGAAAAACACTGGACAAGGAGGTTCCTATTGTCCCTAATAAGTAACAGATGATGCTAAATAGATCATCGGGGGCCAGCCTGGAGGGGGCGGGTCTGAATGGCAGGACTGGCCACGGGCTCAGGGTGGGGCGAAAGCTCGTGGACTGCCGAGTGCTAGGTGCGTTTGGGAAGGTGGTTTCCTAACCCAGCACTTGAGCAGACTTTGTGTAGGAGAAAGGATGATTATAAAGGTTAAAAAGTTTGGGTCCTATAAGAGCTTGACGAATTCCTTTAGCTATTACATTTGCATTAGAAGGGTATTGCATTTTTTGAAAGTCCTGTTAATGTTTCCTGATGCCTTTTCTGTCTTTAAAGGAAGATGATGCTCCTGCTGTATGAAGAAGGCCTCCGAGTGGTCATACACACCGCCAACCTCATCCGCGCTGACTGGCACCAGAAAACGCAAGGGTATGTGGGCTCTGCTCGCTTTACGGCAGTGGCCGTGGGTGCTGAGATGGGTCGGGGCCGGGACAGTCGCTTCATTAGTCTGTTTGTTTTTCTGTTGTTTTTAATTGTACAAAACCCACGCATATGGCTTAGAAAAAAACATACGTGCAGAAAGAAATGATAGCATTCTGTCAGTGCTTCCCCCAGCTTCTCCCCCTCGGGGCTCCCAGTACTAATCGGTTAGTGCATCATCATCCACAGCTGTCTCTAGTCTGTGTGTCAACACTGGTGATGCTCTTTTACGCGTTAGGCTTTTTTCATTGTTTTTAAAAAATGGGCTTATGCACATCTTCAGCCAAGTCCATCCAGTGTTCCAGGCAGGAAAGAGGATTCTCGATGAAAGGCCTGAACTCATCATGTTTCCAGTAAAACCCACCAGATAACCTCCTGGCCTCCACTTACCCCGTGCCCGCCTGTGCCCGGGCTTGCCACTTCCCCGTGGGTGGCACAGGAAACCCTGGGGATGGTTCACGTGCTAAAAGCTTCCCTCGCCCCTGATCAGTGTAGATCCCCATAAATCACATCCACACCGGTGTCTTTTTACGGCCTTTACTATGTTCAGTGGGGTTGTGAGTCTCAGAATTGAACAGGAAGGTTGTTCAGGCTTTGTTTATGTTACTAACCCTTCGTCCTTGGTGCGTATATGTTAGGTCTAGTTTTTTATCTTTTTTCAGGAGGGGTTTGGGTTTATTTTTAGGGATTTTCCCAAATCGAGTTGTAACATTGCTCTCCCCGCTGGAAAGCCCTTCATTGTGACTGTAGCCTTAACTTACCTTTCTCTCACTTGAGCCACTTTGCACATCTGCCTTCTGCGAGGGACAGTTAAGCGCTGGGTGCAGCCTCCTGTGCGGGCAGCAGCTCCAGCCCTCCTCTGGCTGCCTTTCGGGTTCTGTGTTCGCTGCCGTCCCCCTGCCGACCTGGCCCCCATCGTTGCCCGGCCTCGGCTAGAACCCCCAGTGCGGCACGTATCGGGGAGTCCCAGGCCCACCTTGGTCTGAGCTCCAATACAGAGCCTGCCAGCCTCCGCCCACTGGGCCTGCTTCGACCGAAAAGTGCATGGAGAGAGAGGCGCCGCTCTCCCTTCAGACAGCCCGTCCGGTGTGGAGGATGGCCTTCTCCCTGAGCCCAGCGCCCCCGGTTCCCACCCTATGCTCCCCTCCCCCTCCCCCACTTCCTGTTAGTCTTTAAACATGTTCTGGTTTGAGTGTCCCACTTAAAATCTGCTTCTCGAAATGCAGTGTAACTCTGGCTGGCTCAGTGTCATGGGGACCATCGCTCTGTCTCTAGGCGCCGCAGCCACAGGGCCTCTTGACCCACTGAAGTTCGGGTTAACTACCCCTTGGCTACTTCAGGAGCTTCTAAGCCGCAAAGTTGGGTTTTGGGGTTCATGACTTATATGTGGCCCCATCAGGAAAACTAAAAAGATTAATATAGTTTCTCTTGGGGGAAATAGTAATTAGTGTAACGAACTGAACTTATCAAGCGGGCCATCAGCCTTCCGTGGCTCGAGGACGCTCGCCTGGCCTGCTGCCCCTGGAATCGAAAGCCTGAGCTCACAGGCAGCCCCAGGCTTCTCCGGGGGTGGCTGTCAGGGGGACGGGACCTCGGGCGAGGATTGGGGTGTTAATTTTTTACCTCTCTTTAAAAAGAAATTTGCTTTTTCAGAAAACCATTGACCAGGTAGTAGCTTCATGTGGTTTAAAACTCAAAGTACCAAGGGTGTGAAATCTCCCTCCAGCTTCCTCTCCACCTGGATTGGAGCACTGTTACCTCTCAGTTAGGCTACGTTCTACTCTGATCTGAAACTTTGCAGTTTCGTGTTGTGGGTTGTCACTTTTTATTTTTTCATTCTCACCCAAAGATATGTTTTTATTGATTGGAGAGAGTGGACGCAGGGCGGGGAGAGAGAAACATGGCCTCCCACACGTGCCCCAACCAGGGCTCAAACCCGCAACCTGTAGTGGACGGGTGGCGCTCCAACAAACCAAGCCACCCGGCCAGGGCTGTGGGTGGTCATTTTTTAAAAACATTTAAAAGCAGTTATTTTGTGCAGTCGTCACCATTGGTCTTCCGTGGCGCTGCTCATCCTTTTCTGCTATACGGGCAGGTGTTCCAGCCGCCTTTTTCAGCTGTTTCTTAGTCCACTTTTCCATTGCTCACTTTTAAACTTCCTTGGCCCACGGTCATTTTCTCATCTTATTTTGTGAAGTGTTGAAATGCCTCGCAGCTCAGCACCCTGGTTCAGAAAGTCATCGCCTGTCCGGTCCCTCGCCCAGAACCACTCCTGTCCGTGGGCGCGCCTACTCCAGGCGGCCCCCCAGTCTGTGGGCTCCGAGGTGCCGTTTGGAGGGGAGACCTTACACGCCCATCTGGCCCAGCTTGGTCCTTTTGTACCCAGAGGGACAGAGGCTCAGAGAGGTGGCCAGGTTCGCCTCAGTGACACAGCGGACCAGGGTCCAGAGCCTGGGCTCCAGGCATTGTCGTTCTCTGTTGCTCCTGGTGCAGCAGGTTTCCTCCAGGTGGGAGGGGAGAGTGTGGCAGTCCACCTGCTGGAAACACGTCCCAAGACCAGAGGATGCAGAGCCAGGACCCTTGTCATTGTGGGAGCTTCCCCTCCGATAGCCTTGCCGGTCTCCTTTGAGGGCCGCGAGCTGAAAAGCAGAATTCAGGGCTTCGCTTTTGGCTCAGTGGGTAGAACTGCAAGCTAAGTAGCCCCAAGCAGGAAAAGGCCGTAGGAGCCAACACGCCCGCTGTGCGTCCTGTGGCTGGACGCTGTTGGATCATTAGCTCGCCTGCGCCCCTGTGAAGCGGAACCCTTAACCCGGTTTTGCACTTAAACTGAGCGCAAGAGATTTTTAGTGTGCTTTTTTGTAATCTATCAAGGAACAGGTTATAGAAGGATTGGGTTTAGATATGGTTGTTTTCTATTTGTGGGTATAATATAGAAATTTTGGCAAAGTGCATTGTTTTTCTTGAAGGAAAAGAATTGATAAAATGAAAGATGCCTTTAATGTTTTGTTTACTGTGTTATCTGAAAGCCTGAGGTTTGTGTTAATCTAATATCATTAAATGCAGTATGTACTCAGTCCAGGCACCATGGAAGTGTAGGGTGTGAAAATATCTCACACCGCTCTAGCAGATACATCATGAAAATGAGCTTGTTTGTGAAAATAGATTTGCACGTACGTTTTTCTTAGCATAACTTTTATTCTTTCTCACTTGGCTAAAGAGCGACATTGATGCCGCCATGGCCAAAATCTTGCTGGGGTTACCACAGGGGGTGTGGATTTGCTGTAACAGAGAGGAGAGCCATTAACTGTTGTCAGTACATCTCAGAAAACAACATGAAGGGAGCGAGGAGGAGGAGGAGGGAGGTGTGAATGGATGGGACGGCGCATGGAGGGATTGGATTGGGAGAGCTGGGCAGAGGCCTAGGTCTTCCTGGGTCCAAATGCACAGTGAGGCGCTCAAAAGTAATTCAGAACACGATGGAAGCCATGCAAGTGCTGTGATCAGATTTATGTTTTGTAAGGATCACTCTCCTTACCAGACAGAGACAGGTAGTGAGAATTCACCGCTTCCTTAGGACGAGCGCAGAATCCGTACAGAGATATCATTGCGATCAGCTGCACGCCTGACTGTTGAGTCATTTTTCCCCCATTCCAGAATATGGTTGAGCCCTTTGTACCCACGAATTGCCCACGGAACCCACAGATCTGGAGAATCGACTACACACTTTAAAGCTGATCTCATCAGCTACTTGACGGCTTATAACGCGCCCCCTCTCAAGGAGTGGATAGACCTCATCCATGACCATGATCTTTCAGAAACCAAGTATGTGTCGTCTTCGCCTTCGGGGGTGCTTATAGTCGGCATTACCTAAGAGCCTCACGAGGCCTGGGGTGCAGGGGTCTTGGGAAGAGGTTGAGTGACTCTTGGCTATCCTTTCACGACGTGATAAAAGCAGAAGGTTGCCGCTGTGCATCTCCTGGTTCTTAGCCACTAAAGGGGAGGCCAGGACATCTTCCCACGGACCCTCAGCCTCCTTGTGGAGTGCTCCTAAAATGAGTGGGTTCTTCTCCCTGTACCTTACTCCAGTAGTTGATGTGCTTAGAGATGAGCTTAAGTATCACTTACTACTCTGAGGAAGCATCCCAAGAAGATGGGTTGGCTCTTAAAATTTCTCATGATTATATTAGTTGTCACCTGTATTGTGACTTTGGGATCCATAAATCACATCATTATGTTCTGTAACTTACATTTTATATCTTTGTAGTGTTTACCTCATTGGATCAACCCCAGGACGCTTTCAAGGAAGTCAAAAAGATAATTGGGGACACTTTAGGCTTAGGAAGGTAACAGAATTTTTACTATTTTAACATTTTTAAAAATTTGCAGAGGTGTCCAACCTGCAGCCCACAGGCCACGTGTGACCCAGAATGGCTATGAATGCAGCCCAACACAAAATCATGAATTTACTTAAAACCTTTTTTCTTTTTTCTTTTTTTTTTTTTTTTTTTTGTTCATCAGTTTTCGTGTTTGTGTATTTAATATATGGCCCAAAACAACTCTTCTAATGTGGCACAGAAACACCAAAAGGTTGGACACTCCCGAATGGCTATTGTCTTAACGTACATTGTCTTAATGTATATTGTCTCCTTTCTCATTTACAGTTGTGTGGTTTTTTTGACAGCATCACAGTATCACTAGCACAACTCTGGACAAATAGTAAGCACATGAAAAATTGATTGTCTAGTTATAGTTTTCAGTGATTTTTAAAGTTGTGTTACGCCTCTTATATAGGTGTAGACTGTGCTAAATGGACTTTTATAAATCTTGTAACAAAGATAATTAGACGTTTCTCATTTTGTAGTATTTGATCAGCATATCAAGGACTTTTAACATACAGATTCAACAAAGAACAGAATGTAGTGTTGAATAGAGACTACAACTGAGCTACAGTGTGTTTTGTGTACTAAACCAGTGCCGTTAAGAGAATTGTTACTACAAAAATGACCTTTGCTGCTGGTATGAAAATGAACAGAGAAAGGTCTCTAACAAAATAAAACAGCAAGCACGTTGAATGTTACCTGACCCATGTGGTTTAGTTGGTTGAGCATTGTCCCGCAAAGCAAAAGGTACCGGTTCAATTCCTGGACAGAGCAAATGCCCAGGCTGCGGGTTCGGTCCCCAGTCAGGGTACATGCCAGAAGCAGCCAATTGATTTTTCTCCCTCATATTGATGTTCCTCTCCCTCTCTTCCTCCATTGCCCTTTAGCTAAAAAATAGATAATTTTTTTTTTAATTCATCTTTTAGGAAAGAGTTTACCAACCTTACTAATATTCCTGATGTGTCCTTCTTAAAAGCCTTACCTCTTTTTCCATAAATTATTTGTGTTATGTAAGAATTCTCCTTTGTTACTGAAATTTTTAATTTTTTTAAAAATGTGACCACAGCTGACAGTAGTCAAGACCTGGCCGCCAGCATCCGCTGTCTTGACCTAGAGTGAGTAGAGCGCCCTGGCTTAGTGCGCAGCCTTGCAGGTAGATGCTCATACCTGGGTTCACGTCCTGACCGGCTTTTACAAGTCACGTGGCCCTGGCTGGCTCCTTAACCTGCCTCTCTCGTCATCTGTAAAATGGCCATAACTGTAGTGCTCCACTCGTAGAATTGTGTACGGACTAAACGCAATAATGGGCGCAGCCACACGCCGAGTGTTCCGTCAGCGCCAGTGGTGCCTTGTGGACTGGCAGCTTAGACTGGCACGGTGCTCGCATGTGCTCTGTCAGATCACAATCCTGCCCAAAGTTGAAGAGCGTCTTGGAGCTTCCCAGCCACTTTTCACACCCAGTAGCTCATGTTGCGTCCCAGCTGCCTTCCAGGGAAGTGGGGAGATGATTGGAGGTCTGCCTCATTGATGGAGACGGAGCAGAGGGACTTGTCCAGGGTCATGCAGCCAGCCGGGGTTGGGGCGGGGAGCACAGAATAGACACTGGGTCTCATAGTCGTCAGTTCAGCCTTGTTCCGTATACACTGCTGCACTCAGGGTGCAAGTTGAGAGTTGTTTGGGCTTTTCAGTAGCAGGGTTTATAAATATGCCTAAGCTGTGTTAAAGAAAATAACCCACATTAAACTAAGCAATACATCAGTCAGAATATAGGACTGTGGTTCAATTTTCTTGCTATCTCCAGCCTCTGGGTAGGCACTCGATGTGAATGTTTAAGTGGATGAGACTTCCAAACATTTTCTGAAGCTTTTCACAAGTATAAAAGCAGGAAATGTACATCAATCTTAGTGTTTAAGGTCGTATTATCTGTATGTAAGTTAATGCTCTTCTATTTTAAGAACATCAGAGCTCCCTGGAGCACAAGTGTTAAACTTCTTTCAGTTGATAGGAGTCAAAATGTGTAGTAGTTCGGCCATCTATATATTGGGTAGGTATATAAAACAATTAGGATTTCAGTGTAAAAATCTAACTTCACGAGGCAGGTTGGTGGTTTATCTGACATTCCTACTAATGTAGAGCTTTTAAAAAATTTTAATCTGTTTTTGCTTTTAGTACAAGTCAAAGAATATGGGGAGAAGAGGGCTTCTCCTGTCCACTTACTCCATTAGAATAAAATATTTTTAGAATTTAAAAATATTTCCCAGAGATGAAAAAAATGTATACGTGTGTATGAAATTGATCACTAATATTTCCAGCATTTCTTTGTTAAATGGGGAGCCCAAGGGCGGGACACTGTGTCCTCAGTCGTGATGGCGTTTCTGCTCATGCATGTGAGTAACAACAGCATTCACTATCGCTCTTCCCAGCTTCTGAGAGAGCACGCCTCGTGCACGCCCAACGCCGAGTCCTGGCCGATAGTAGGTCAGTTTTCCAGCATCGGCTCCATGGGGGCTGACGAATCCAAATGGCTGTGTTCTGAGTTTAAAGAGACCTTGGCAGCCCTGGGGAAGGAAGGCAGGACCCCGGGGAAAAGTGTCGCTCCGCTCCATTTGGTAAGCACTGTTTTCTCCAAGAGTTAATTATTTGCATTCTCGTGTCCAGGAGAGAACCAAGAATCAGTCCTCCGTGTCCGAGAGAGGTTTTATTCAGTAGTTTTGAGATGGAAACAGCCATATCTGTAGTCAAGGGGTCCTCACCACGTGGTCCTGGGGGGCGTGTGAGTTCAGCCAGAGCTCCCTGTCAGCCTCCGACAAGCCGGCAGTTTTCCCTCCCTCCCTCGGGTGTGCAAGCCCAGGGGAGAAGATTTGATAAAGCACTGCCAGCAGAGTTACGGGCGTGATTAATTGTTTAGACACCTTTGAATTAATAGTTAATTTTGCATTCAATTCAGTGTTAATTTGGTATTTCAGAGGAAAAATCCAAATCGAAGTGTAATTTCTTTTTATCATCAAATTAATTACCAGAAGTTCAATTTTTTTTTCCATAAGATTGGAACCTTTTAAAATTTAAAGCATGTTTTCTAAGTCTAAGTATTTTTGAGATTTTTATTTTCTTGAAAATTAATCAACATTCCTTTTAACAAATAGTTTCTTCAGCGTGGTACCTTCCTAGTTTTATCAGGGGTTTTTCTTATTTATTTTTAGATCTATCCTTCTGTGGAAAATGTGCGGACCAGCTTAGAAGGGTATCCAGGTAATTGTATTTTTGCGTATGTTTCATAAATGCCCTGGTAAACTTTAAAAGCAAGTAATGAGATTGCCTCCCTCCTTGGGATGTGAAAGCAATGGCTAGAAATTTGGATGACTTTTCCCTTAAGTGGGTAAGAATCATGAAAATAGGCAACACTGAGCACTGGGAACGTTCCGGAGATGACACAGTGAGGCAGTCTGTGTCTGTTTTTTTAATCCCTGCAGTAACCCTCTGAGTCGCGACCTCACTGCTACCAATAGGGCTGTTCTCACCTCAGCCACCAGCAGACTGGCTGCCCAAGCAGGACACCCAGACCAGACCAGCCCCCCTCCTGCCCCGGGCCTTCCTTTGCAGAGCACTTCCCCCCCCCCCCGGCACCCCCCCCCCCCCCCCGCCGCCGCCTGCTCTGGCCTCTCTCCCCTCCCCCTGCCCCGTCCTGTCTGTGTCCAGGGTACTGTGTGCTGCTTTCAAATACAAATCCTGAATACAGATACATTTAAGGTTCAGAACTTACGTTTAATACTGAGATGAAACGTGTCATATAGCCTCGTTGCTATATCAGCTCTCTCAAGGGCTTCGTCTGTAAATGCCTAGGATTATTCTGTAGACATCACCTTGTTCTCTGGTTCTCGTATACTAGCGCTGGACACTAAACTTGTACTTGAAATTAAGCAGTTCCCCGCAGAGTGCCTTTGGGAGGTAATGACCAAAAACCCAAACAACGTACATCTCTGGCAAAAAGGAAATCTGATTGGCATTTGCTTATGGCTGGAAGCAGAATACTCTGAATTTAGACTAATTTAATCCACTTAATGCTTGTCAAACTAGATGTGACCCTGCCAGAGAAATCTCCGTCGGGGTTGGAGTGTTTTAGCCCATTTGTTGCTTTTTGTTGACAAAGCTAAAATTATTTCACTGAGACTCAGGGACATGGTAAGGGTTTTTTTTTATTCATTTCTTTCTTTGTTTTTGGTCTTCTTCCTGCACTTCTAATATGTGACCGCTAGATCCAGTCAAAACCTACTTTTTAACAGCGAAGAACATGGCATTTCCAATAAAGCTATTTTATAGCTGGTCCTGAAACCCTAAATATGTTTCTAGTAATTTGAGTAGGAGAGGCGTCACGCCACCTTTGGTGAGGTGGAGAAATTTAAAGCCCTCTGAGGGCAAAGGTTACCACGGAGAAGTTCCTTCCTGTGTGTGGAAAGTGAATGATGAATCTACAATGGAACCTAGTCCTTTCAAAGATGAACAAAAACATTGGCCTCTAATTGTGTTTCCCCTTGGAACCATATCTTTATTTTCTTTGCAGGAGCATGGTTTTTAGTATTACTTTTTTAAAACTTCACTGTTTACTGAACGCTTTATTCTATTTCACTGATCGTTCTTCCCCGTTTGTAAGAATCTGTCTAGCTAATATGAAGTCCGTTCGGAAGTAGCAGAGCGGCAGGTGAAGGAGGGAAGAGAACCAAGTCCTCCTGGGAGTTCTCAGCCGACTCTGCCCCAGCGCCCTGGTCTTAGGCAGAAGCAGGGGCGCTCCCCTCCTCAGCCAGCCTTGTGAGGGCCACGGGATGGGCCGGGGCTCTTCTGAGTTGTCTTCTTCCCCTTTAGTCTGTGCTGTTGCAGACAGTAAATTACCACCCCCGGCTAATTAAATATCTTTTCCTTTGTAGGTAGTAAACATTTACATTTCATGTGCAGCCCCAATAAAGAAAGCCCCACTGAGAGAACGTACCTGTGCAAGCACAGACGTTTTCTTTCAAAGAACTATTTTATAAGATGAAATAATGGAAGTAGTTTTGTTTTTTTGTTGTTTTCTCATTTAAGCTTCTCACTGTTTACTATAGCTTTCCTTCTTAATGAAGGATCCTCAAATTATATAACATAAGTCGTACTATTTACTTTATTTTTCTTCTTTCAAAAGCTGGGGGCTCTCTTCCCTATAGCATCCAGACAGCGGAAAAACAGAATTGGCTTCATTCCTATTTCCAGTAAGTAATTGGTTTAGGATATTACTGTTGCCTCCTTAGGAATAAGTGTCGTTGATGTCATACTTTTTTAAAGAACCTTACATAATATAGCTGTATATTTTAGCTACATATGTTAGTGATAGAAAAAATTTAAAACAAGGTTTTGAACGTTTTTTTGGAATAGATTTTTAATACCAAAGAGTATAATTTATCTCTGGTGTTTCTATTTATATATTGGCACACAAAGAAAAAGATAAAATAAAAGAGCATCTTGGGTAGCTTAGAATTTACATAAGTACCCTTTAGTTCATATTTCCAATATGTGGAATATATCACCCTGTCCACACAGCCCTGCGCTGCGTGCCTGCGAGCTTGCTGACGGTAGGTCCTCGCGCTGTTTCCCAGGCGGAGGGGATAGTATTGGACTCATAAGAAGAGTTCCGTGCAGGGTCGCACGGACAGGTGAAAGGAGTGGCCTTTGTCCTCCATCAGTCGCACATCCGCATCTTCCAGGCTGATCCCAGTTCCATACTTGCTTCAAAATCCACTTACTTTGCTGAATAGCCAGAAACGAAGGCAGATTACATTTCAGCCTAATTCAGTCATCTGGAGCTTTTATTTAATGCCTTCTTGGAGGTTGTTTCTTACAGAGGACATTGCTTCAGGTCGAACGCCTTTCAGTATAGTCTACATTCAAGGGAATTTAATGCTCTAATGATGGACCTCCCCAGTCCTGATTGGTTTTTGCAGACAGTCTGTCCTCTTAAGGGACCATCCTCTTATAAGTAAGGATTGTGGCCTCAGCATAGAGGTTATTTTTTCCCATGGCTCTTTAGTCCTACAATGTTGCAAATTTAAAAGACTAAGCTCAAGATATGCAAATACCAGCATTTGACTCAAGTATTTCTGATTTATGCCCCTGCTTTTCAACTTTCCATTATGATAGTCATACTGTTTGTATTTTTCCCATTTTGTATTTTGTTTTATCAGCAAGCTTTTACTGAGCCTCTACTTAGTACTGTGTTTTGAGCACAGTTCCAGCTTTTAAAACTCACAGGCCAGCTAGGAGATAAGATGTGCAGCCGTGCTGTTAAAAGCACAACAGAAAGAATAGAGTATTTGCATATGTGTGTGTATTCATAACAAAGAAGCCAGGAACACCATGTGCCAAAAGGTGCTTTTTGCGAGTGGTGGTCCTTTTTTTCCTACATCCCTGCATTCTAAAATGAACATGCATTATTCTGCTACCGGAACCGAGGTTAAGAAGATATCACAGAGAACTGTGTAGTCACTGTTCTTTAGATTATAGGATTTTGGTTTTCAAGCACTTTTCTAATATTAGGATTGTGACCAGTTTGTATTTTCTGATCAGTGATTTGTGTCTTTCCCGTCACTAGCAAATGGTCCGCTGAGACGTCTGGCCGCAGCAATGCCATGCCACACATTAAGACATACATGAGACCCTCTCCAGACTTCAGTCAGATTGCTTGGTTCCTTGTCACTAGGTAAGTAGTCCTTATATTCCTGATGGGAGGAATTTTTAAAATGTGTTTGTAACTCCTGCTCTGAATACCAAACCGTTCTCTAAAAAGTGATTTTATGAACTGTCATTGGTTTTCTGTGTGTGTGTGTGTGTGTCCTGCATGAGCCCTACTGAGAGGAGGCCCATAAGTAATCCATTTGTAGAGATTGTAGTTATGGCCTGATTTCATCCATTTGGCATTCCAGTATCATTAAAGGACACCCGAGAGACTAACCTAAATCATTTAGAAAATGCGTAGCATCCCCTCACAGCCCTTCCGTAACCAGGGAAGTTGTAGACACCAAGTAATAAGTGACGCCTACCAGCAACTCCCTTCTTTTTGTTTGTTTGTTTGTTTGCCACTTTATCTCAAAGTCAGAACATCTCCAGCTGAGCTCATCTGTTGGGAGGACCTTTCTTTCCCAGCATCCCTCTGTGCTTTAGTGGCACCTGCCCTCTCTCTCATCAGGTTTAAAGCCGGCCCTCCTCTTGTTCTGTCCCTTCCCTTGCGCATTCTGCAGCATCGACTAAAATCCTTCTTCCCGCGGATGATGGACAGGCAGGGTAGAGCAGTAAGGTTTGCGTAGTGCATGTGAGACACTTGCAATTCCAGAGATGTCAGAAAACACACAAGTAATGACAGTAGGAAGAGATCTGTGGTTGAGGTGGGCATGTGAGTGGTTTGGAAATGCACATCAAAGCCTGTTCATCCTTGAAATGCCTCAAACTTTGCTTTTCTAATCCCTGGAATTACCAGGTCAGATCCTTATGACCTGGACTTCTGAAATGGTCACCTGTCTGCCATTCCATCACAGGGTTGTCCTCTTCCCAGGCCACCTGTCCTAATTGTCCCTGACCATTTGTCTTTGGCTGACGTGGATTTTCCTCACTGTCCTGTGTTCAGAATCTGCCCCCACTTCCTACAGACTGAGATCCAGAGTCCTCGGCTTGGCCTTACCACCTTAGCCACACCATTCTCACCTTTCTTATCCTGTGTTCCCCAGCATGTGCTTCCGGAAGCAGCCAGGCTCCCCTCCTTTGCCCCTGAAACCACCTGCCAGCAGCTGTGTTATAGTTCCCCCTCTGGATCCCTTTTCTTTCTCTCTCTGCCTCTCCAGTTGCTGCCCATTGAATAGGGACTGTGATCAGGCCTGGTGTCATCTCCTGGAGGCTCTGCCAGCCTCTGCTGGTCTCTCTGTCCAGATCCTTAGAGCTAATGTGCTCCACTTACTATCAGTTTCAAACACTCTTCTGAGCACATTTCATTCTCTCTCTCTCATAATCCTCACAACAGTCCTGCAGTGAACCTATTAATCCCCTGTACAGATCGGGGAACTGAAGCACAGAGGGGTTAAACCAGAGCCCAGGAGCCCAGGCACGCCCTCTGGCCCTGTGCTGTCGGGCAGTGAGGAGCTGAGTCGGCGGGAGGCTGCTCAATAAATGGGATGGTTGAGGACGGCCTGGCCGACGTGGTGACATTCAAAGCGGAAGCCTGGAAGGAGGGAGGGAACCATGTGGGTGGACAACTGGGGGAAAGCTTTCTGGGCAGAGGCAGGAATATACTCATTGTGCTTGAGAAACAACAAAGCGATGTTGCTGGAGTGAGCGGGGCAGGAGGGCAGGTGAGGTCAGAACAGTAGCTGTGGCCAGACTTTGCCTGCTGTAGTGGCAAGATTACTGTTGCCTGATGTCTTCTAGGTTTCTCTAGGTTTATTAGTTATGGGTATACGCAAGGCAGTTCTGTGTCGGTGTATTTGATCATTCGGACTGATTAGAATAACTGCTTTTTATGTACTTGTTTCTTAGGGCTTTCCTGGAATAAGAAGTGGTTTCAATATAGTTGGCTTTAGCTTATGCTCAAATAGTGTTTCTCAGCAGGGCACTGTTGGCATTTTGGTCAAGATAGTTTTTTTTGGTATCACAGCTCCACAAATAGGAAACTTAATAACCTGTCCCTCACATATTAAATGTCGCATCATGGTGAAATCACCTCCCCCCTGAGATGTCCCATGCATTCCTAAGTATCCCCTAGATTGTCCTGGTGGAGAATATAAACACCTTGGAGAATAAATACAGAACTGATAGACAAGTGCCACTATCCTTTCATTTAATGCATTTTCCTACTTTAGAGAGATGAGAACCATGGATTCTAGTCTGAATGAAGTGATAATGCCTAGCAAATCTAACAGTCTGCCAACCACGTGGCAGGTGTTTTTATGTTTTAAGGATTGATTTTAGTAAGACAAATACATCAAAAGCTACATAAATTTAACCTTCTTTTGAGACACTTTCCTACTTTGATATATTATTACAAGTTAATGTTCATTTTGGGGATGAATAGCTAATTCCTTTTATTTAAGTGCAACAAAATTAAATCAGATTCCCCAGAAAAAAATGTTAATAGTAATAAGCAACATGGACGATAAGGACCCATGACTTTTGACTAACACGATTATGAGACTATTTTTAATAATCCAGACCCACACACCTACAAAAGTGTTGCCCTTCAAGGTGGTCACGTTTTGAAATTCGGTACTTTTACCAAAAATAGGCACTTCCTGTTTTGGACCCTGTAGGGTCATACCTCAGTACTCTGTGGATTCAGAACTCATCAAACCCTGTATTTGTTGCATTTTGACGAGAAAAACAATGTTTCGGCACTCAGCGCTTGCTCAGGTCTCGTTGCACTTGCTAGAACTTGTATGAGTCACAACGCCACCCTGCAAGAGAACATACTTCATTGTTCAGTACTCATCCGTCTCGGCACCTGTCACAAGTTCCAGAATGAATCAACGATGAGTCCTTAGGAACCATTGTATTAGTTTGCTGCTGCTACGTAACAAGTCATCACAAACTCAGTGGCATAAACAGAGGGTCAGATTGCTGGTCAGGGCTGTAGCCTCTGCTGAACTCACTGGTTTGCAGAATTCTGTTGCTTTACAGCTGTAGGTCTGAGGTGTCTGCTTTCTTGGTGGCCGTCAACCAAGGGACATTCTCAGCTGAAGTGTCACCTCTGTGCCCTGTCACATGGTCCTCTCCAAACAAGCATAGCTCTTTGTTCAAAGCCTGAGGGGAATCTCTGTCTCAGGAGGAACCCAGTCACTCTTTTAAGGTCTCACCTGCTAAGGGCAGGCCCACGCATGATCGTTCCAAACCTTCTGATTAACTTAGTCGGCCGATGGGTAACCTGATCATGGGAAAGAAGCCCCATCATATTGCCAATTTCTGCTTGCACACAAGGGGAGGGGATTATACAGGGCGTGTGCACCGGGGCAGGGGTGGGAATTCTGCCTTCCACAGGCCTTGCTGGTATTTACTACCTGGTTTGATTCATCCATCTTATTCTCCAACCTTGATGTGAAGTAATTTCTTAATTATTATCTCTTTTCAAAATTGAGGTTAATTTTCCATAGTTAAGCAAAACTGCTCTTGGATGTACTCAGAAGACTGAACCTCAGGCTCCAAAGGCCATTGGAGAAGTAAAGTTCTGTGATTATTTGGAGACAAAGCAGGCAGCTGGGTTGGCACGAGAGCGTAACGTGGAGAGCCACGCTCACCAGGGCGCGTAGGGTTGTTAGTCAGTCTTACAAAATATTCGTAGAATTCCCCAAGATGTGATTTCCTAATCTTCAAACAAGCAAACCAACCGGAAAAAAACAAATGCTCATCCCTTAGGGGTCTACTTCATGTCTTTCCTGTAATGTGTCCATATCCTAATAACCTGTCGTTCCCCTACCTGTCCTCAGGACAGGGTGTCGGCTTCCTGGTCGTGGGGACTTTGTGTCACCCACTTGACGTTTCATAAATGTGGAAACCAGCTGCCGAAGATCGGGGATTAAAATCTTACTAAAATGCTTATAAAAAATTAATAGAGTTTTCATCTTTTTTTATTTTTCCTTTTAAGTACACATGAATCACAGTTGTTCATTTCCTCTCTTGTCATCATATTGTCACTGGGGTTCTGACTGAAGACATTTTTCACAGATCCTGGGTTAGATTTTAGTGCATAGTTGCCACATCCCTGAGCATTGTAAAATCTGCACTAAAACCACTTCTAATGCAGTTTCCATTTTATTGGACTGTCTGCATTAGAAGTTTTTATTTTTCCTACTCTAAGAGAAAGTAAGTCTTTAATTCTTACATTTTTTTCCTACTAAAAATACTCATCCTCATTGTTAATAATTATTTAATGTCTGTATTTTCTTTCAGAACAATATATGTAATGCCTAGTACAGCACCTGGTCTATAATGGCTCTGAAAATTTTGAGCAAATAAACGCTATCCCCCTTAATCTAACTACCATTCACTTTCTAATTGCTTCTCAGGTTTCAAGGTTATGTTTTATGTTTTTGTACTGTCCAGGGCTTAACGCTTATCCCTCAGGTCTGTTTCAAACGTTCCCCTTTGAAACTCTTTATAACTGAGCAGACAGAACTCGTCGTATTTTCCCTTTGTGTTTTGTAGCACTTTTTGCTTGTTCCTTTCACATCTTCCTTGTTCGTTCTTCATGGGTCCCAGTTCTTCAATATATTATGAGCTGCTTGCGAGCAGATGACAGGTCTCACCCATCTTTATAGCCTCAGCACCTAATACTGTGCACGGCTTATGGTTACTGAGCAATACGTGTTTGAATTAGAGCCCTTTACAACAGTGGTTTTCTCAAACAAGTAATACATGCATGAAACAGGAAAAAGATGTGCCGAGGTGACTTATCTCCCCATTCCCATTCCGCAGCCACCCTGCTCGGGTCTTCGGTGCAGTAGCTTGGACCCTCTCAGCACTTTCACACCCAGGAGTCTCAGGCGGTCATGTTATCCAATCAGCCACCGCACTGTGGGGGAAGTCGCACCAAACCAGAGTCCAGTGTCCATGTTCTAACTGGGGATAACCACTTACTAGCCTTGCCGCTTAAATTTTAGAAAAGTCATTTTTATAACCTGGGCTTTTATCTTACTTGTCGAATGCTCAGAGGATGATGATAAA